CCTTGAATTGCACGAGAAGAGGCAGTGAATCTGCCCCAGCGGCCCTCCGGGCCAATTGTTTGTGGATGCGAGGAGCACTCCGCCGAGAGTGGCGGCGGTGCTCATGCACGATGAACAGATCTACTTTGCCGACAGGGAGCCGCCCCACAGCTTGATGAGTTGCTTTAAGCAGCGGGCGGACGGGATGATCATGTCCCTGGAGCTGCTCGCAATTGCGTTCGGGCTCTGCACCTTCGATCACCTCTTGCTGCGGCGCAAAGTCATGGTGTGGAGCGATAGTGTAGGCGCCGAGACCGTGACCAGCTGGGGGTCGTCTAAAGAATTGGACTGCTCCTGCCTGGTAAATTGCTTGTGGCTCAAGGCAGCCCAGCAACGTATCGCCCTGCGGGTTGACAGAGTCCCGTCCAAGCTCGATATCGCGGATCTCCCCTCCCGCGAGGAATATGACTTGCTAGCTTTGCTCGGCGCTGTGCGCGTGCCACCCGCGCTCGACGGTCTTTTCTGGGAACCAACGTCGTGGTCAGCCAGTGGCGACCGCGCGTTTCAAATGACGGCCACCAGTGCAGCCAGCGAGCATCGAGCGAAGGCGGCGCAGCGGGGTGGCCGCAGTTCGCGCAGTGCCACAGCTGGCACCTGCGCAGGGCGTCGGGGATCGCGCAGCGCACACGCAGTCCGCCGACCAGTGGGCGCGCGGCGGCGTCTCGCAGCCATGGGCGAGGCTCGCGCGGTGGCGTCACCACATTTTATTGAGTGTTTGCAATCGCTGGCTCCGGCTCGCGAAGCGCGGGACATCGCGCTTGCTGCGGCCATCCTGTCCGCCAACGGATTCCGGGCCATCGAGGAATTGGTCGGGGCTTGCGCGGCCGACCTTAATGGCCAAAGGTGCCCTCTCGGGCCCCGCTTGTGCTCCTTCCTGGCTGAGCCCATTCGCCTTGCCGAAGCTAGGCGGCGGTTCGCAGGTGCTTTTCTCCCGGCGCACGTCGCCCGCCGCGGGCATCGTCGCTTCGCAGGCACGCGAAACGGGGCGCGACCCGCGGCGGCCCCGCGAAGGTCTCGCAGCCCAGTGCGAGGTGAGGCGAGGCGGCTGGCGGCAGCATCATTCAATATCTTGGATTCAGTTGAGGACGCCATCGCCGCGGCGACAGCCGGCGAGGGGGATGACATCGCACCAGCGGCGTTGTGCTCAGGCAAAGGTCCGCGCGCCGCCACAGCATCGCTGCAGTGCCAATTGCGCACGCCAGCGGCTCGCGCAAATTGGGTCGAAAGGGAGCGCGTACGGTCGCTGCTGGGCTCATGCCCCCGATCCATTGCAAGCTTGCGAAGCGGCATACGGTGCTGGAACGGGTTCTGCGAGGGCGCTCTGGGCCTTGGCGGCGCCCAGATCCCGCCCGCCGTCTAATCTTTGTTGGCATGGGCGTCCCTCTTTCGGTGCAGCGGAACGTTCGCGAATTATTTGGGCTTCGTGCGCACCGTGTGCATGCTCTGCCGCGCGGACACGGCAGTGTTCAAGGCGCCCGAACTAGTGCGGGCTCGTACTGCTATCAGGCGGCAGCGGGGCACGCGGGGCGGTCGCGCCCAGGTCGCGCGGTCTGTCGGCGCGCGCAGGAAGCGACGGCTGCTTGTCCCACGCAAGAAGATGTATATCAGGCACAGCATGGTCGCGCGCATGTTGCGACTGGTTTTGCGCGACGCCGAACTGAGAGAGACGCACGCGCTGTGCTTATTGGCGTATACCTTCCTGCTGCGCGTTCCATCGGAGGCAATCCCTTGCGCGTGGGGAGCAACCGCGCCCGTGGGCTAAGTGCATTTCCGCCAGCATGTCGCCGGGGACGAACTGCTGCTGCGATTGGCCAGCAGAAAGAATGTGCCGTCGGGCGCTGAGCTGGTCCGCGGTTGCTGGTGCGCAAAGCATCCAGAGTCTTGCCCTGTGCACGTGCTCGGTAAGATCGCGGCGACGCGTGCCCGGGGGCAGAAATTATTCCCGAGCTTAACGCCTGGCAAGGCGCTGCGGTCCCTGCGGAGGATACTGGCCATGATGTCTGTCGCCGAGGCACAGCTGCATCAGCCTCGCGACCTGCGCCGCGGCCACGCGCAGGCTCGAGCACCGCGCCCGCTCGTGCGCTGCGATCGCGGGGGCGCACAGGACATGCTTGAAGGTGGCAGTCGCCTGGGGGCGATTCTAAAGGCTGGGCAGTGGCATTCGCCTGCGTTCCTGCAATGCATCAGTTCTCAGGACCTTGAATCCGGCGCCGTGCTGGAGGCGCGCCGCGCGCCGCATTTTGGCGATCCGCAGTGCGCTCGTCACTCGCAGGCGCATCTGGACGAATCCTCCAGCAGCGATTCCTCCTCCGATTCATAATTCCTGGCGGTGCATCGAGCCGCAGCGCACTGGGGCGCCCTCCACTTGGGAGGACAACGTAGCGTGGCTTCGTGCCTTGCCTCACCCCTGCCGGCGCATGCAGCGAGGGGTGGTGCGCCTCTGGGGCAGGCGCCGCCCGAGCCACCAGGGCCACGATCTGGCGTCGGGTTCTTTGCGCCCCTGGCGTCTCGGGCGTCGCTGCGACGCGCGTCGGGGCGACGCTCGGGGCGCCGCACCCCATGTCTGGGGAGCGGCGTTCCCCTGGGCCGCGGAGCGGGCCTCGGTATTTCTCTGCCCTCCCACGGCGCGCGGGGCTGGCATTTGTGATGAGCCCACAAACTCAGGGACAGTGCTTGCACTGTCGTTGCGTTTGTGGGCTTGCACGAATGCCGCTCCCACGGCTGCCCTGCTCCCCTGCCCTCCCCTCGTCCTCGGGGCGGGGGTGGGGGGTCGGGGTGCGGGGCCGTGGGTGGGGGAGGTATACTGGTGCTGCTCTGCCTGCGCGGCTGCCGCCTCTGCGCTCCTGCTTTCTCTTGTCCGCGGTCCGCCCAGGAGCGGCCGCTGGCCTTGTTGGCCACTGATGTGCAGCTGGCAGGGGCGCGTCCCGCTGCGCTGTGCCACCGCGCCGTGGCGCGCGTGGCGTTGGGGCGGCCTCGCGGTGCCCGTCCGCGCACGCGGCCTTGCGCGCTGTGCGTTCGCCTCTCTGGGCTTGGGCCCCCGCGTGGGCTATGGCGGGCGCGCTGCCCATGCGTGGCCGCGTGACGCGTTTTGTCCCACCCGCCCGCGCCTTGGGGGTTCTTCGCGCCCCTGGCGCCTCGGGCGTCGCTGCGACGCGCGTCGGGGCGACGCTCGGGGCGCCGCGCCCCATGTCTGGGGAGCGGCGTTCCCCTGGGCCGCGGAGCGGGCCTCGGTATTTCTCTGCCCTCCCACGGCGCGTGGGGCTGGCATTTGTGTTTGCGTTGCAGGTTTCTTGCATCGCAGCTTTGCCTTTCTAGCTTCAGCTTCGGATTCCGCGTGCGAGCCGAGAGCGGTTTGGGGAGGTCCAGGGAGGGTCTGAAGCCCGCGGCGCCAAGGACCACGATCATACTTACAGCTTTAATTGCATTGCATTTTGTTTGCGTAGCAGTTTGTTTTTGCATTGCAGCTCTGCCGTTTCTAGCTTCAGCTTTGGATTCCGCGCGCGAGGCGAGAGCTGTTTGGGGAGGTCCAGGAGGGTCTGGAGCCCACGGCACCTGCAGTTTACCTTGCGTTGCAATTGTTTTGCGCTGCAGCTTTGCCGTTTCTAGCTTCAGCTTTGGATTCCGCGTGCGAGGCGAGAGCGGTTTGGGGGGAGTCTAAGGAGGCCCTGAAATCCACGGCGCCAACGACCACGATCAGACTTACAGTTTGTTGCTTGGCAGTTTTTTGTGTAATGCAAGTTTGTTTTGCGTTGCATCTTTGCTCCATTGCAGCTTTGCCGTTTCTAGCTTCAGCTGCGGGTGCCGCGTGCGACTCGAGAGCGGTTTGGGGAGGTCCAGGGAGGGTCTGAAGCCTACGGCGCCAACGACCACGATCAGAGTTACATGCTTTTCCGTTGCAGCTTTTTGCGTGCATTTTGTTTTGCATTTCAGCTTTGCCGTTCTAGCTTCAGCTTTGGATGCCGCGTGCGAGGCGAGAGCGGTTTGGGGAGGTCCCGGGAGGGTCTGAAGCCCACGGCGCCAGCAACCATGGTCATACTTACAGTTGCTTCCATTGCATGTGTTTGCATTGTTGTTTTCTTGCATCGCAGCTTTGCCTTTCTAGCTTCAGATTTGGATCCCGCGTGCCAGGCGAGAGTGGTTTGGGGAGGTCCAGGGAGGGTCTGAAGCCCACGGCGCTAACGACCACGATCATAGTTTCGGGTTTTGTGCGTTGCATTTTTTGTGCATTGCAGCTTTGCCGTTCTAGCTTCAGATTTGGATTCCGCGTGCGAGGCGAGAATGATTTGGGTAGGTCCAGGGGGGGTCTGAAGCCCACCGCGCCAACGACCGTGATCATAATTAGGTTTTTGTGTATGGAATCTGTGTTGCATTGCATTTTGTGTTGTTCTGCATTGTTTTTATGTCATATTTGCCGTTTTAGCTTCAGCTTTGGATTCCGCGTGCGAGGCGAGAGCGGTTTGGGGAGGTCCAGGGAGGCTTGGGACCCCATGACGCCAACCAGCATGATCATAATTACAGCATGTTTTGCATTGCAGTTTTTTTTTGCATTGCAACTTTGCCATGCTAGTTTCAGCTTGAGATTCCGCGTTCGAGGCGAGAGTGGTTTGAGGAGGTCTAGAGAGGGTCTGAAACCCACCGCGCCAACGACCATGATCGGAATTACACGTTTTGATGGCATAACAGTTTTGGTATTGCACGTTTTCTGCCTTGCAGTATTTGTTGCATTGCATATTTTTTTCATAACATGTTGTCTTGCATAGCTGCTTCGCCGTTGCAGCTTCCGTTTTGGATTCCGCATGCGAGACGACAGCGGTTTGGGGCGGCCCAGGGACCGGCACGCGACGGTTTTATTCTCGGCTGCCGAGGGCGCAACCGATAGGAGACGGTTTTATTCTCGGCCGCCGAGGGCGCAACCTACGGCGCAACCGATAGGAGACGGTTTAATGCTCGGCCGCCGAGGGCGCAACCTACGGCGCAACCGATAGGAGGCGGTTTTATTCTCGGCCGCCGAGTTCCGTAGCCATTTTGGCTCAAGCGTTCGCACGCCTTGCCAGGGTCGGCCGTCCGTGATGGCTGCTCGCGGCGAGGCTAGAGGGGCTCTGGCTGCGGCCGATGGCGCGGTGCTCGTCGCTGCCGCCGTCCGCGCTGCGGTCGACGCAGGCGCGCCGCGGCGCACCGCGGGCGCGGTCGCGCGCTCGGCCATCTCCGCCGTGGCATTCGCCATGGCGTCGAGGATGGCCGGGCCTGCTGCTGCTGGCGGTGCCGCGGCGGGCGGCGACAAGGAGGCGGAGCGGCGCCGTCGGCGGCGCGCTGCCTTGAAGGCGAGGCGGCTGGGGGGCGGGCGCGGCGCGGCTGCTGCGGAGCCCCCTGCAGGGCGCGGTGCTGGACGCGAAGGTGGTTTCGAGCGGGCGGGGGAGGTGCCTGCGGCGGTGCGCGCCGCGGCGGAGCCCTCGGAGTTCGCGGACGACCTCATGGGCGGCGACGCGGACAGCCTCGACGACGAGTGGGCCGACGCCCCCATGCCCCGTGCGCGGCGGCGGAGGCGGCGCAAGGCCCCTCGTGGGGTGGGCTCGGCGGCGGCGGCGGAGCCGGGCGCGGCGGCTGCGGGCGCGGCGCCGGCGGCTGGCGGAGCTGACGCTGCTCGGGGCGCTGGCTGGCGCGCCTTGCGGCGCGGCGATGCGGCGGTTGAGGCGGAGGCCGAGGCGGAGGAGTTCCTCCGCAGGCTTGGAGCCGACCTCGAGGTGCCCTTCCCCGCCGCGCGGGGCTTCCTTCCGAGCGACCCCGCGGCGATCCACAGCGCGCTCGCCCAGACGGAGCGCCTCGAGGAGCTCCTCTCGGGCGGCGGGCTTGGGCCTCTCGCAGGCCTGCGGGGCGGAGCGATGCGGTAGGCGGCCGCCGCTCCCCAGGGCGTTGCGGCCACGCCTGAGACGTCGGCCGATGGCCCTCCCGCCTCCTCGTCGGCTTCGCGCTCGAGGCCGCGTGCGGGGTGGGCTTTGCTGGACGGGCGTGCTGCGCGCCCTGAGGCTGCAGAGGAAAAAAATAAAAATCTCGGCCGCCGAGGGCGCAACTTATGGCGCAACCGATGGGAGACCGATCTATCTTCGGCCGCCGAGGGCGCAACCTATGGCGCAACCGATAGGAAACGGTTTTATTCTCGGCCGCCGAGGCGCAACCTATGGCGCAACCGATAGGAGACGGATCTATTGTCGGCCGCTGAGGGCGCAACCTATGGCGCAACCGATGGGAGACGGTTTTATTTTCGGCCGCCGAGGGCGCAACCTATGGCGCATTGATAGGAGACGGATCTATTGTCGGCCGCTGAGGGTGCAACCTATGGCGAAACCGATAGGAGACGGTTTTATTCTCGGCCGCCGAGGGCGCAACCTATGGCGCAACCGATAGGAAACGGTTTTATTCTCGGCCGCCGAGGGCGCAACCTATGGTGCAACCGATAGGAAACGGTTTTATTATCGGATCTTGCCGAGTTCCAGGGGCCAGGCTGCGCGCGCGCGAATTAGAAATATAGTTTTATTAGTTACTGGAGATTTTCGCACGCCTTTGGCCCGCCGGGCTGGCGAATTAAGGTTTTAAAAGGGTTTCGGCCTCTTGGAGGCCTCCTGGGGCGCTCTTGCAGCCATCTGGGCGCCATTTGGGGCCCCTCTTGGACGTCTCTTGGGCCACCCTGGAGGCTATCGACCAACAAAAAAGACGGCGACGTTAATTTGGATCCCCCCGTCGGAACCCTCAAAATCGCCTCTTGGAGCTCTAATGGAACGCTGAGGCGGTATTGAACGCTCTTGGGGCCGTCTTGGGCCTCTCTTGGACCCCTCTTGGGGATCTCCGGGTCCATCTCTTCGGAGCCATCTCGAGGCTTCAGAAGCCCATCGAAAGCGAAAAGGCGAGAAGGCAAACAAAAACATTGATTTCTATCATGTTTTGGGCTGTTGTTGGCCTCTCCAGGGCATCCTTGGGCGGCCTTTTGGCCACTCGGAGCCGTTTTGGATGGATCTTGAAGCCTCTTGGAGGTCTGTTACAAGCTATCTTTGGCCATGTTGGGCTATCTTCAGTCCGTAGCCATGTTGGCTCAAGCCATTTGGGCTCTCAAGGCGCATTGGTTGACGCACGCTGCTACGTAAGGTTTTTTCCAGACGACCGATCTTCAGATGCAGATGGCATCAAATCATGTGCTCGTCTTGCTCGTGTAAGCAAATCTGAGAATTTCAGCAGCGGTGAATATTTGGGATTTGTCTTCTGTGTCGACTGGCAGTGCCAACGCCAGATAAGTTGCCAACGGCAGCTCCCAAGAAAGCGTGGATTTGGAACATGCATTACAAGGGCGATGCTCTTAGATTTATGCATGACCCAGCCATGCTCACAGTGGGCGAGGCTTTGCGCGATTACGGGGCCAAAGTTACTTTTGTGTCCAAGGACAACTTAGATTCGGATGACAACAGAAATGCCTTGTTAGAGAATGTCACCGCCGCAGTGGCACGTGGCCAGAAGCCTCGCATTGTGGTATTCGCGTTTTGGTTCGCGCGTGCGGGTGCACATAAGTCGTTTTCGCTCTTGCGGAAGTGCAAAGGTCTTGGTGCGTTTGTCGTCTTCTATCAGACAGAACCGGGTGAAGTTTAGGGTGCGTAATTTTCACGCGGGCCGCATTATGTGCGATGGTTTATGCGACGAGATCTGGGATTACTCGTATACGAATTTGGACAACTACCCCGAATATTGGAGACGTGTTCAAAACCAATATGTGCCCCCAGGGTATGCGCGGGCCTTGGACCTTGGCGTTAGCGTGGTGAAGAAGGATGCACATGTGGAGAATGTTGGTTTCCTAGGCGATTGGGAACACCGACATGATGAAAGAGGAGCTCTGTTGTATCCAATGTACCGCGAAGTGTTCGGTACCAAGCTAGTCCCCAGTAATGGTATCCACACGGCAGAAGTTTTCATTAGGTTCTTCACAGACTATCCGGTGCAATTGAACACTTACAAGGTTGAGAGTTGTTGCCCAAGTACGAATGCGCTGACGGCATTACGCATTGCGCAGCTCATCTCGAATCGAGCCTGCGTTATATCGGTTCGCACCTACCCGTATGACGAGGAGGAGTGGCAGGGCATAGTGCACTTCGCGGAGCGGTCCCAAATAGCCAACTTGTTCGACGAGAAGAGCAGGGATGTCGGCAACTGCCAGAAACAGACCTTCGAGAAGTTCAAAATCAAGTTCAAGCCGTTGTCGATTTTGAAGCGCTCTGGCTTCTTCGACGTTTGGTATCTCTTTGCGCATCGTGGACTCCTTCACATGATGGTCGATGGTGTTTAGGTCCGCGTGTCTCTCTCTTCCCTCGTTCGCCCCTCTTCATCCTCTTTCTCCCCCTTCTCTTCTTCCTCCGCGACGACGGCAGCGGCGGAACATGTAAAATTACAACGTGAGAGGAGGGAGGGGGGAGATATGATGACAAAGAGGTGGGCGAACTGTATGGCATTGATTCGCGCGTTTGGTGCGTTTCACAGATTCGCTCCCTGGCTGTCAGAAAATACGGCAAACCAACTGTTGGGCTATCTTCAGCGATGCGATCTTGGAGGCCATCTTTAGCTCTTTAGGGGCCTTTTTGGAGCCATCTTGGGCCATCTTAGACGTTCTGACCGCTCGCGAAAGGCCCCGTCCAGATCCAGGGGGAGGGGGTACCGAAGAGGAAGAAGGGGATTGGAAGAGGGGGGTATCAAAATCTCTCACGCCCTAAAGGGCTGGTGGGATTTTAGCCCCCTTCCTCTGGGACCGTCGAACTCGCCTCTTGGGGCCCTCTGGGGCCCCTCTTGGTCGCTTCTTGGAGGCCTCTTGGGGCGTCTTGGGCGTCTCTTGGCATTCTTGGGAGCCTCATGGAGCATCTTGGCGGCCTCTTGGGGGGAGAGGCTCTTGAGGCCTCTGGAGGGCCTCTTCGAGACCGCTTGGGAGTCGTTGGAGGCCTCTTGGGAGTTTCCCTTGGCGCCTCTTGGGGCCCTCCTCGGAAACCTAGGGGGCCCTCGTGGGACCTGAAAGAAAGAGAAGGAGAAACAAGTAGAGAGCCCAGAGAAGGAGAAACAAGTAAAGAGCCGCGTCAGCTGCCAGATCTGTTATTCTGCCCCAAAGCAAAGTAATGCGCTGGGATATAAGAACTTTTCGCTTCAAGCGGCTTAGAACAATGCCTGTATGACGTGATGGCAGATGCATTCCAATGTAACGTCGCATGTGCATGAAGCCCGAAACGCTCGCCTTACGTTGCCTCGAGTGAAACGAGGAGGAGGAGGAGGAAAAGGAAAAGGAAAAGGAAAAGGAGGAGGAGGAGGAAGAGGAGGAGGAGGAGGAGGAGGAGGAGGAGGAGGAGGAGCACCGTAGTCATTTTGGCTCAAGCTGTTTCTCCCGCTTTCCGCCATTGCCATTTCCGGACGATGGCGGGGCTTGCAGGAGGAGATGGCTGCGGGAAGGGTTGCCAGGCAGGCGATCCTCGGAGGAGCCGTGCTCAGCGCTCGGCGGCGCGGAGGCGGGCTCTGGAGTCAGCGGGCGCGGGCCTCGCAGCGGCGAGGCACGAGGTGGATGCCCTCACGGAGCGACTTGCCAGCGCCCTGGAGACTGTGCGCGAGCTCGAGCAGGCGATGGAGGCCGAGTCCGAGCTGGGTCGCAGGATTCTGCTAATCATTCCTGTCTTGGCAGCAAAGCTGCAGCGCAGACCCATCCCTGGTTCAGTCAGGGCCAGGCGCAACGCGGCAGAGCACGTTTTCGACATTCCAGCGGACGTCATCGCCCTTGCTAGCAGCACGGATCTCGACAGGCTGCAGCGGGGCAGCGGCGGCGGGAAGGGCGAGGGTGTCCGTCGCGGAGCTGGCGATCTTCGCGCCGATGCACCTCCTTTCGTTCCTGGGGCTGGGCGGTGGGAGCCGGTCCCACCTATCGTCGCGTGCACATGCGGGGCCACTGTCTTCTCGTCACTCGAGCTGCCTGGCCCATGCTTCATGTTTACTAGACCTGGCCCGACCGCCGTTCCCGAGGGGAAGGTTGCGGGCTCTTCGGGCGGAGGCGAATTTCATTCCCCCGCCGACGTTACATCTCTGTCTGTGCTGGAGGGGCGCTCCAGCAGTGGCTCGGCCAGAGGGCCCCTGCGGGGGGTGACTGCCCAGGCGGCTGGCCGAGTGCGTGTGGCGGGCGCTGGCGCTGGGGGCTTGGCTGCTGGTGCTGACGCGCGGCATGGTCATCCTGCCGTGGCGGCTAGCTTGGAGGCGGCGCGCGAGGAGCAGGAAGATGCCGAGCAATCTGACGACGCGGCCCTGGATGCTGCTACGGTTGCGCCTGACCCCGCCTCGGACACGATCGCCCATGCCGACAAGGGCCTGGACAGCGACGTGGACCTGCTTGTGGAGGAGGTGGGCGGGCTGGCTTTGCAGGAGCTGGAGGAGATGCACCGCCAGATCGTCTCTTCCCCTGGTCGGGTGCGCTGCCGCGCGGGGGCTCAACCGTTTGTGCGCCGCAGGGACGAGGTTAACTTCGTCAGCGAACGTCTCGAGGAATTGGCGCAGTGGTCGGCCTTTGTTGCATCATCCACGGGACGTCCCTTCGTTCGGCGGCAGGCGCAGCTCACCCCAGGCATCCGTGGAGTCGGACCGCCAACCGATGCATCGTGTGAGCAGCAGTAGTACCCATGTCACGGTTGTGCGTGCGAGCCTCTTGCATTCAATGTTCTGCAAGTGTATTTGTCTTTGTAAGTGTGTGTGTGTGTGTGGCATGGCCGCTTGCATCGTAGCTTGCGCTGCTGTAGTTGTCTCTGAAGCTCACGCGCGCACGCCTCTCTGAATCCAGTGTCTTGCTGTATTTTGATTGCGCGCGTTCAGGCCGATTGCCTCACATGCGCTGCCTCGTTGTTTCAGTGCGCGATTTGCATGCCGTCTCACATTCGACTGAGAGGTTGACCAACCACAGCGTTGTGCATCATGCTCACCCTCTGTTGTCAGAGGCAGACTTGCATATAGCAATGTTATCTTATCGTTGTGAACTCGCGGATTGCCTCTGGTGCCTCGGGATGCGCGATGATGATGCTGATGATGATGATGATGATGATGATGAGGAGGGGGAGGAGGAGGAGGAGGAGGAGGAGGAGGAGGAGGAGGAGGAGGAGGAGGAGGGGGAGAGGGGGAGGAGGAGGAGGAGAGAGGAGGAGGAGGAGGAGGAGGAGGAGGGGAGGAGGAGAGGAGAGGGGGGGAGGGGTGGAGTGGGGAGGGGGAGGAGGCAAACGGGGAGGAGCAGGAGGAGGAGGCGGAGGAGGAGGGGGAGGAGGATGAAAAAGGAGATGGGGGAGGAACAGGAGTCGGGGGGGGGAGGAGGATACGGAATGGCTGCGGACGTGGGGAAACGCTGCTGCGATCCCGCTTTTCCCGCATGGGATGGCCCGCGAGCGCGCGCCCGTGCGCTCAGGGACGCTGGCGCCTTTACCCGCCGCGTCTCTCCGTGCGCCCGCCCCCGCCCCCGCGTCGCGCGCGCGCCGCCTTCCAGCCAGGGTGTCGTCATCGTCGTCGCAGCCACAACCGCTGCCGCCGCCGCAACCGCCGCCGCCGCAACAGCCGCAGCCGCCGTCGCCGCCGACGCCGCAGTCGTTGTCTTCGTCGTCGTCGTCGCCGCCGTGATCGATGATCGCAGATTCAACGCTTTAGGCCGGTTTTGGTTCTGTCTGGTGCCTGTGGGGACGCTTTAATGACGACGGCTGAACCCCCCGCGAAGTCCTTGCGAGAACGCCTCCCAGTACTTGTCCAGAGTCGTCGTTGTCGTGCGCCGCTGTCGTCGACGTCGTCGTCGTCTTCGTCGTCATCGTCGCCGCCGCCGTCGTCGTCGTCGTTATCGTCGTCATCGTGGTCATGGTCATGGTCGTGGTCGTCGTCGTCGTCATCGTCGTCGTCGTCGTGGCCGCCCTGATCGATGATCGCAGGTTCAACGCTCTAGTCTGGTTTTGGTTCTGTTTGGTGCCTTTGTGGACGCCTTAATGGCAACGGCTGAACCCCCCGCGAAGTCCTTGCGAGACCGCCTCCCAGTACATGTCCGGGGTCGTCGTCGTCGCCGTCGTCGTCGTCGCTGTCGTCGTCGTGGTCGTCGTGGTCGTCTTCGACGTCGCCGTGGTCGTGGTCATGGTCGTGATCGTCGTCGTCGGCGGCGGCGGCGGCGGCGTCGGCGTCGGCGTCGGCGTCGTTTCAAAAAATGTTCGAACTATTGTGTGCCTGTTTTGGGCCCCCAGGGCCCCCGACGCGGAGGGCCCGGCCTCCTGGGGACCCCCCAGGGACGATTTGGGGAGCCCCAGAGACTTCCAGGCGGCGTCGGTTGTCGTCGTCGGCGTCGTCATCGTCATCGAGGAGATCCTAAACACTTCGCGCAATCCCACCAGCCCGCCCGGAAATGATTCCCATGCAGATCGCCGTGAAGATGTGGAGGAGCATGCAGTCGCAAGGGCTGGGGA